TGTGTTACCTCAAAAGATACTAACTAGTCCTGATGTTGACACCATATATTTGGAACTAGACTTGACTAGTCCTGATGTTGACACCATATATTTGGAACTAGACTTGACTAGTCCTGATGTTGACACCAAATATTTGGGACTAGGCTTAACTAGTCCTCAGAATACTTTAGACTAGACTTGACTAGTCCTCAGAATATCATAGAAAAGACTTGACTAGTCCTCAGAATACCATAGACAAGACTTGACTAGTCCTCAGAATACCTTAGACTAGACTTGACTAGTCCTCAGAATATCTTAGACTAGTCCAGTCCCGTCACTATCTTGCTTTTTAAAATAATGACTAGTCGTGACGACCAGATCCAGTATTTTGAACTAGTCAGGACGGGTGCTATGGATGTTTTGGACTAGACATGTCGCCAGTCTTCTCTTTTTTTTGCCCGCCTGGGACGTCTTGTTCGTGCAAATATTGCATCAGGAACCTACTTTGAACTACCAGAATGGATGAAAAACTATACTGTTCATTTTGGAAATCACTATCGTCAGGCATTGCATAATTATGCGACGGGAAAGTTTCATGATGTACCTCATAGTTGGCTTTTAGCTTTCAAGCATGTACGCAAAGGCGATATGACTACTTACATCAATTTTGCATTAGGAATGACTTCTCATATTGTTTGTGATCTAGGAATTGCTATTAGTGAACTGGATCCAACAGGTACAAATGCAACAGCTAAAAAATCGGATAGTGAAAAAATTAATGGTATTATTCAGCATTGTTCAAAAGAATTAGTGTTGGCATTAGTCAACTTCTATGCTCCAATTATAGATTTAACCCAATGGATCACACTTTTAAATTTAGTATTGGATGAAGTGATAGTAATAATTCGAGATATTGCATGGAACGAAGCCATATTTATTGTAAACCATCCGAAGACAAAGAAAGGTACAATATATTTCATGGATAGAAATGCGTGGATGTTGGAAAAAACTCTGGTAGTCACGTCACCTATTTTCGAAACCTTGCGACAATATGAACGTTCATTCCCGTTCGAACACTTTTGCACAGTTGTACCGTGGGGTTGCGTAAAATAATAAGCACTAACAAAAGATTCTTTTAAAGAATACATAATTCTGTATCTATTTTCTCGATTTTTTCGAATATGATCATTTATTTTAATCTAATCTTAACAAATCACAATCAACTATCTGTCACGTTTCTATTCTAAATCATTTGAATTCCCATGAATTATCCATTATACAGCAGTCAAATACATCGTTCGTTGGTCATCAAAAGATTACAGATGAAATTTAAACTCTTAAATTTGCTCCTCAGTTAAAATAGTTCATTCAAAGCGTTGAATTTTATTTTCATAATAAAAATAGACTGATTCCTCTTAACAGTTATGTTGAGGGTGTGAGTATGGGCCCATATACGAATGTTGTTGTCATCTATGCCCACACCCATACCCATATTTTTGATTTTGTATTTCATTTTAGTGTCAATGAGATAGATAACTCTTTATCAGTATAATAATCTAGTGATTCTTTTTTTCTTAAAAATCTGACATACATTTCGTTCATTCCATTTCATGTTTGTCGAGAAGGATGTCATTCAATTATTTAATAGAATCGTTTTAAATGATTTTTATACAAAGAATATTTGTATAATCCTTGACATCATATCTCACGTTAGCACAATACTTAAACGTTTTTTGAAGGTTGCAGGATGAGTTTTGTCCTGCAAATGTGTCCTTTTTGAATGAAGACTTTTACGTCGTGCAATCCACCTTGAAAGTAAGACAAGATCTTAAAATGTCCTGTAAAATGCATGTCAGAACGAGAAAAACGTCCTGTGACATGCTTTGATAAGGACGAAAGCTCGTCCAGAAATCTTATTGGTACGAATCTCATGTTAGGTGTCTTGTAGGGCCGCATAGAGCGCAACGAAATATGGCCGTGATGCAATTCATGGAAATGCGGTATCAATACGGCTGTATATGACCGTGTTTTCGTCGTCTATCACAGTAAAAGTATGCTTCTGGTTGCTACAATGATCGACCTGGGTCATCTTGTTTCTATTTGTTTTTTCTTCAATCGTGTTGTGCAATTGTTGATTCTTCTTTCGGTTCGATAAAAGTCTGATAGGCGTACAGGGCGATAAGAAACATGTAGTTTTTAGTGTTCGACGTCACTCATTCTTGCTGAAATATAGCCGTAGATAGCTTTACCTATCTTTTAATCGATATATCGTAAAATCGACGAAATCGGATTACTTTCAATGGTAAGTGCAGGACAATCTGAGTATCCTAATCAAATCAGTATCAAAACACACGACAATGACAATGCAACCCATCAAAAACGATTTCCAAAAATCTTCATTCATTAAGTTCATTCTGATCAGTACAACTGTATGAAAAATTAAAAAGACTAAGTAGAATTCTCAGGGAGAGTCAAAAGTACATAAGTAAAAAACGTCCGAGTAAGGGTCGTATGAGCATGTTTTTCAGAGAGAAAAAAAGGAATCCGGGGCATATCCATCTAAAACATACTACTTCATACAGAAAGTTCGGTGCCAGTGACAGGAGGTAGTATGTTTTGTAGATATCATTTTTGTGTACTCAAAAAGTTCATAGACTCTAGAATCAGTCAGTATGTCCGGCCGACCGTTTATACGAGAACTTTCAAAAGGAGAGTCCGATCACGATGAAATTTTCTATACAGTTCAGTCTTAACAATGTTAAGGTCGAGAGAAGAACGATGAGCAGGATCCGTCAAGAAATGACTGAGTTATAGAAAAAATTGTCATTATTGAGAAGACCATCCCTGAGGGAGGGTACAGGGAATTTTTTTTTTGAAAAAATTTTTTTCTCCGAATTCTTCACAATTAGAGGTGTAAGCCGTACGGCTGACCCGCCGTCGCCGCCGACAGACTCGAAAAATTTTCAGCCGCCGCTGGCAACTAGCATAAATAAACGTTTTATTTATATTTTCTTTAATTCGGTACTTTGACATTTTAGAATTCCAATATATCTCTTCTTCATTAACCTCCTCGCCTTCAACTTCACTTTCGTGCTGGTTCTGTGACCAATCAGGTGCTTGGGTTTCTAAATTGTAAACAAACCCTTAATTCTGTGTTGGTTGAAAATTCTAAGTTATCATTTCAGTTGTTTATGTCTGTTATATTAGGTATATTTATAAATACAATAACAGACGAACATTTTAAATTTTGATTAACAAAAACAAAAAACAACAAACTTGAATACGCTAAGTGCCTTTACTTATTAACAATCGTGGTGGTGATTTTTCATTTATTATTTGCCCTAGCAATTATATATGTATTTTTAATTATAGACTTTTTTATTATGTCTAGATATGAATTAAAGTTTTTCCACATATG